ACACACACACACACACACACACACACACACACACACATCCTTGTATTTGCATCAAACTGAAGACTTTGTACTGACTTCCATTCATTTTTGTAACTGTATTCATGCCTAACCCAGACATTTTCCCTAAAACTAACCATTACTAGTCTAATACTAACCCTGACCTGAACCAAACCTTAGTTCACACCATACCTCTAAACCTAACTAGTAAAGCACAGCAGAGCAGCAAACAAAGKGAGGACACTGAAGAGGTCCTCACTTTACATCAAAGACCTCACTTTGATAGTAACTATGTTGCAAATGTTCCTCACTCTGTGGTCAAAACARGTACACACGTCCTTTTGGGCCCTTGGCTTGCGTGAGAAATTTTTAATGTTGCATCAAATTCATTTTATGCTAAAATAAATAAAAATTCCCTTGTAATAAAACATCCACGGTTTATTTTAAAACAACATAAATGTACTGGGAAATGAATCGCTCAGCGTTCCATCCTCCTAAAAATAAATAAAGTAAATTAAAATGTCATGCCTTCGACATTTCCTTGATTGCGATGATTGAAATGTTGTTGCGAGTTTCCACTCAGTGTGCTGATAAGATTTTCCATTTGTGCCTCTGCTCTGCTTTCGTCCAACCCTCRGGCCCTCCGAGCCTGGCCGAGCTCACTTCCTGCCCTCTTTTGAACACGTTTCTGTTCCCTTTTTTTTAAGCAGCTATATTTAATTCTTGGAATGGCAGGCTTCACTTCCGGAAATCTTCACATTGTTTGCCTGATGTTGTCTTGCAGAACCTAGTGAACCTGCTTGCTCGCCTTGCCAACGATAACATCGGATACGTGGACTGGACTCCTTATATTCCCACAGTGAGTTGTTAGCAGGATTACGTGGATATGCAAGCCTGTTAAATGTGTTTTATTGTGGGGCCACTGGACTGCGTCTGTGCACTGAAACTCGTTTGTTTTGGTGGTGTGTGTGTGTGCAGATCTTCACCAGAATCCTACGGAGTTTGAATCTTCCTGTCGGTGTCTGTCAGATGGTGGCACCTAGGTATCTCACCAACTCCTTTGACATCGGATACCTGGTTTTATGGATCACAGCACTCCTGGTACACACTGTTTAAAAGAAAAAAACATGCAGTATAGGTATTATTTATATTCCATTGCAGCTTCTTGATAGTTAATGTCTGTCCCTGCAGGGTGGACCAGGAAACCCCGCACAAAAAGAGCTGACCTGTCTGTTCAGCAGCATCGCCTCCTTCTACCACCCCTCCAATCACGGCCGCTGGCAGGTCATTCCTTCAATTCCTGTTGTTCAGAACTGGATTAAATTTATTAAATAGTTTTGCAGTCAAGACCAAGACCAGAGTGTCTCAAGACTGAGACAAGGCAGAGACTTTTAGGAGCTGGGTCACATCAAGACCAAGACAGAGGGAGGGCGAGACTGAGTCAAAACCATGACAAGACAAGTACAAATGCAGTTGAGTCTGAGACTAGTCAGAGACCATCAAAAAGTGACTGGTCTCGAGTACCACAGCACTGGTATCTGGTTACTTTTGAAATGATGCTCTGTCCAAGTCCAAGTCGTCAGTGTTTAGCACATTGTCAGCCATGTCATCCATCATAAAGCACAGAGAATGTGTTGAATGTGTGTTTACAGTCCCGACTGATGCGTCTGCTTCAGCGACTCCCAGCAAGTGTTGTGCGTCGCGTGCACCGAGAGCGTTACGCTGCACCCAGCTGGATCACGACGGTCCCCGAGGGTCAAAGGTTGACTGATGCTGACCTGCAGGAGTTCACCCACAGCCTCACTGGAGCTGCCCTGCTGGCTATATTYAGGTACTGCCCGGCTACAGTCAAGCTGCCTGACAGACAACTATGAACTACTTGTTGAACATTTTAAAAGGGACATATGCAAAATCCACATTTTTTTAGACTTTAAATACATTTTGTTGTGTAYTTGGAGTCTCTAGGAGTACAGAAAAGTTTAATTTAGTCTCTTCCAGTGCTGAGAAGATATTTTTATATTCTGTTCTGTTCATTTTCAGTCCATTCATTTTTCTTTATTCAATATTTATTTTTTGAACAATAATGTCATGGTATTTGTTGCAGTACTGATAAAATATGGGCATAACTTTGGAAAATATGCAGCTCTGCATGTTTGTTGTCTTCAATCCCCACTCACCCTGGGTCAGACTCTTTCTCCAACATGGAGTGACAAGTCTTCCATTGTTGACATCTTTTAAATAGCTACAAACGTAGTGGAGTGAACAGTAATCATCAGGAGTGATACCTGGAGGGGGGCAGGGTTTGAAGTGCCTCATTTGCATTTAAAGTCATCCCGGACGAGCCCCCAATTTGTTACGTTCCCACTGGCTGTCTAGAAGTTGGGGGAYGCATCAAATTAAAGAAACCGGGCAATGAAGTAACATAACTCAGGAGGATCAAAATAAAGAATGATTTATTAAAGAAAAATAAGATAACGTGTAATGGAAGAAATAACCTGAAAGGAAAAATGGGAGACTTATTAATAATTTGAATATTGGGAGTGAAATTGAAAGAGGGGCTTGTGGAGTTACAATAAGGAGGAATTCAGACCAAGACATTGCAGTTCTACTTTAAATAGACTAAAACTGAAAAATTTTAATACGAAAAGGAAGGATTTAAAAGCATACGTCTCCTTAAAACATCAAATACATTTACAGCTGCATGGAGTATAACACACTCCACTGGAGTATAAAGAAGCACTNACTCAGGAGGATCAAATAAAGAATGATTTATTTAAAAAATAAGATAACCTGTAATAGAAGAAATAACCTGAAAGGAAAAATGGGAGACTTATTAATAATTTGAATATAGGGAGTGAAATTGAAAGAGGGGCTTGTGGAGTTACAATGAGGAGGAATTCAGACCAAGGCATTGCAGTTCTACTTTATATAGACTAAAACTGAAAAATTTTAATACGAAAAGGAAGGATTTAAAAGCATATGTCTCCTTAAAACATCAAATACATTTACAGCTGCATGGAGTATAACACACTCCACTGGAGTATAAAGAAGCACTTCAGCCAATAAATCTCTACCCCAAAACAAAATATCAACAGATTTAGATAACTACTTGTAGGCTGACATTTAAAAACTATRGTTGAACTTAAGTGGTAAGCTGACAAAATATATTTGTTTGTGTTCAAATACAATTGTCACTGTTGGTGGTCTCTGTCGACATTTAGGGATCCAAATGTGTCCAGATTTCTTGCATTTTTTAGCCAGAACTCAGGTTTACAAATTAAATTTCAACCAGTTCTCCCTTATTAGTATGGCATCTTCTTTAAATTTCACTAAATAATCACTGTAGGTTGTTTTTAATGGTAGCTCAGRTGCTCTTGCTTGAAATCTCCAAATCTTTAACTCCATAGCCAAATAAAAATGACCAGAACTCAGACAGTTTTACTGTTATTGAGCTGAAATCGGTGTGATAGTTGATGAGAGTCATCCCCAGCACACATACACAGTTCTTATAYGTACATGTCTCATCTGTACAGTAGTTCATTGAGCTGTAAACAACCAATGAACACACACAGTTGTGTGTCTCATTAGTGAGTCATTGCAAACACGTTTCAGACAWAACAAGCTTAATCTGGACAAAGACAGGTCGTCTCTGATTATACGTCCCTGCATGTTTGTTTTCATTGCTGCACTGTACGCACTATCATCTGCCCTCTCCTGGTGGTTTGCAGTAAAAATGGCAGCACAGACGCAGCCTACGCTCTACAGAACCTGGCTCTCCTGGCACCTGAGCTCGTCATACCCCCCGTCCTCGAAAAGTAAGACTCACACATGCAGTATTTAAGCTCCCGGCTCAAATTTGACTGAAGAGTGACTTTTAAATCAAGCTGCACCAGTCAGACCCTAAATCATAAACTATCTGATTATATTTTCATTTGCATAATCAGGACCTACGCAGCAATGGAGACCCTGACAGAGCCACACACCCTCACCGCCACCCTCAGCTGCATGATCGGCATGGCCCGCAGCCTGGTCTCCCCTAACAACCGCTACCCAGAGGGCCGCACACACGTTCTTCCACTGCTTATGGGCTCTCTCCCAGGGGTGGACCCCAACGACTTCAGCAAGTGCATGGTGAGTGATGAACGTGCTGATCGGTAATGAAGAAAAATGATTAGACAAGCAGACAATGCAGCTTGTGCTGATTGAATTCCCTTCCTGTATACTCAGGTCTGTCCTAYTAATTATTCCCGAAAGTGGAGTGAATATCTCAGTCTGAAGAACTCGTAATTAACGTGGCCGCTCGAATAGTAAAACGGATCGGTTCTCTCATCTGCCATGCTCATTTTCTCCACGCCGTATTAATCTTTGCACTGGAATAAATGAAAACGTTTGGGAAAAAAAAAAAGAAAAAAGACCTGCCACATTATTTAACTCGGGCCGTGATCATGTCAGATGATGTTAATTGATCTGCTGTGCCTCTCTGTCCAGATAACGTTCCAGTTCATCACCACCTTCACCACTCTTGTCCCTTTAGTGGATTGTTCAGCCGCTCCATCCCGACACGTGGATCTCACTGAGGTACACACACAACAGAGATGGAGTGTCTTTACTTTGGAAAAGTGGAGGTAAAATACACCATCTATTCATTTTCTGAGCTGCTTCTCCTTTCTGGGTCTTTAGCAGTCACTGTGCAAGAGGCAGGTACACCCTGGACAGGCCACAGAGACAAATGAAACAAACAAGCATWCATTCTCTCACTTACAYCTAGATACAGTCGCTACCAATTAACCAAATGTGTGTGTTTTTGGTCAGTGGGAGGAAACTGGAGTAGAAACAAATTGTACTAATAAAGAACATTGACCAAATATTTAAAYGCAAGGTACAGTATATACATCACAAAAGCAACACATAGAAGTGTAATTGTAAGTGTAATTATGTATTTTCCAGGCARTTCAAATATACCACAATCAAGAAAACCATGTTACCTTAAKTTATTATGAAAAGGCTGTATATATCAAAAATCTATTTATTTTTGCATCATAGCCTAGCTAAACTCTTKGAAAAGGGCTTCTGTCTCCYTAAGAACCTCCTACTGTTTCTGACACTCCCACTTCAGCACATCTTTGCAACACTGCAATGCCATTTAAAACCTTTCGTAGGACAATTATGTGTTGTAAGAAAAAAGCAACATTATATAATATCAGTTTTGGAAAATGGCARCACTGGATACAGTTTAACCTCACTTAAATGATCCCACGTCGGACCCAAAAAAAAAAAAATACATTTTCTGAAGAACCGGAGCGAATACAGAGGCTCTTACATGATGTTTCAGCTTGATAATATATCTCCCAGWCATCCTCTCATACATACTGTACATGTCAATGTTAATCATTGCTGATGACTGAGCTCCAGGGAGGAGTTTTGGGTAAATAGGTGGAGCTTTGTACCAGCAARTGTTTAGGCAGCTCCATGTGGCTGGAGATTCAAAAGCATGCACTAATGAGTCAAAGCAACACTCTGCTGATGTTTTTGRTCACATTATAAGATTATATAAAGCTCCAAAAAGTCAATGTCCTTTAGTTTTGTTTTGGTTCATGTGAAGACATTTTTCTAAACCTTTTTATTTCTGTCAATTTTGCATTGAGCACTTCTTTACATAAAGTTTTACTGGCATTTGTTAATGACAGCAGGAACAGTGAGCTCACGGACCTTGAGGAATCTGTGTATGAATGCCGTATTTTTATTCACATCGTTAAAATGTGTTTTCTTTAGACTTGTGAAACAAAATTTAGAAGTTTCAAATGAGCTTCTTATATTTGCAAAATTACACAGCGAGGCCTGAAAAACATCCATCACTGATTTATTTTATTTTATTTAAATGAGCCAATGTGACAGTTTTACATAATACATGGATTTGTTTCCCTCTTTCTGATAAGATGAGAGAACTGACACTGCTTTTATGTTTTTTACGGCAAATATGCAGATGTCAGCTCAGTTTAGCATAAAGAACAGAAGCCGTTTTTTGTTTATGTTTTCAGTTCTGTGACCCCGCAGCACAATCTGTCTGCCTGAATCTTTAAATGTCTCTAATTAGCTGCTTATTTTTTGTTGTTTTCATCAATTTGAGCAAAGATCAAACTGTTAAAATACCTTGTTAACTTTCCTGGACCTTCCTTGTTGGTTTGAGGAAACAGGACAGTAGTTTTAACCCTCTTCTAGTGTTTGTGATAAGCTAGCTATCTCCATATTTAAAAGACAGATAATAGTCTGGTCATTTTATAGGTTCCTTCTAAGAAGTTTTAATAGTTAGGACCTTATCAGTTGCAGAGTCTACCTCGAGGCCTGCTCCTAACTTAGCCTGCAAGACTTCTGCCCTTTTCCTCTCCGACTAATAAGGTACTGCTAAATATTGGACAAAATATCTTTTCAAATTAGGCCTGACTATAACGTTAAAAGAGGAATCCATTGGAGACCTCTCTTTTGCACAGAAACATATCTCAATGACCTCTTTATCTTCATTACACACAGTTAATGCTTATAAATGAGTTACACTGGAATGCAGTTGAAATGAAAATCAAGAGCGCTATCTCTTGGCTTGCTTCCATTAAGTGTATTTCCTAAAATGTCAAAGCATTTCCTCTGTAATTCAGGCAGAAATCAGCCAAAGCACAGAGGTATAATACAAACACATCACCTTTCGTTTTTCCCCCCGCAGATCGAAAAAGATCTCTGCTTTGCCTCAGCTGGGTTTGAAGACTTCGTTCTGCAGTTCCTGGACAGGTAGAGATAAATTAGTGAGTCAGACTGTCACTGTGTGAAGCTCCGTTGTCAGCGTCTGAATACGAATGCGTCTTTCTGTTTGAAATGCACTACACTCTCTGCCTCTGGAGTGAAAAAGAGACCCTTTTTTTAATCATACCGTTGTTGACATTTTCTTGGCTGACAAGTGTTTTAAGTGTGCGTTTTGTGCACTTCTGTGTGTCCTTGTGTTGCTCGTGCAGGTGTTTTGCTCTGATAGACAGTAGTACGCTGGAGCAGACGAGAGATGAGATGGAGACGGAYACTCAGACTCATCTGGAGAGCCTGGTGGAGCTGGGGCTGTCCTCCACTGTTAGTACTATCTTAACGCAGAGCTCCACTGAAATATACAAGGTACTGCATGAATACTCGTGTACATGTTGATCTTACAGGTTAAAAACCTTCATTGTACTTTGACCTGGTCTTTGTCAACTTCTAATTTAGGTCACAGTTATTTAGGTCCAATTTTGTTTCTGTTCCCTGCTCCATCACACCCAGGGGCATCGCCAAGGGGGGAGCCACTTATAAAAAATGGTGGAATTTATAATTCACAATTTTGTTGAATTACCTTTATATGACATATTACATAACAGTATAAATAACCTAACTAATATTCTTAAATTACCTGAATCAAACCACTGAATYACCATTTTAAAGTCTGGGCAGAATGGGCAGAGTTGAAGCAAATCAAAGGGGGTGTGGCCAAACTCCTGTCAATCACTCATGCCCGTGAACATGAATGAMTTATCCAGACCTTATTTGGCWGTTCTGTCACAAATAATTTGACATAGTTCCAAAAACGTCATAGAAAACGGAATGGRTTGAAAAATATGACCCAAACCAGAATATTAAAATATCCATGCAGCTCCAGGAGAAACTAAATTATCTAAATAAATAAACTAATAAATAAAATAAATAAATAAACTAAAYAAACCAAACTCCTAGTGAATCTAAGTACACAACAAATGCATTTTACAGCTAGAAAACATGTCTGCTTTAACAGTAATTTTCTTATATTTCAAACTTTTTTTTACAAATGTTAGGCAGCCTTTAGCCCTGTAAGCCCATTTATACCAGCCATCTGTGAATAACATGTTTGCTGAATCAGCACTGAGGACATGGAGAGCCCCTGTGTGTGATTTCTATCATCTGACAAACATTTTACACGCTCACATTGTTAAACCCTTATGTTTTGTTTTTGTCAGGTGTTCTGACAGTCAAAAAGCTCAGCTTGTACAAATGAACCCCATCATCTGACCTCTTCTTTAAATGTCGCCCCTGCGTCAGGTTGCGTTGCAGAAGCTCTACACATTTGCCACCTCCAGCGTTTTCGAGACRTGCGTGTCGGGCAGAATGGTGGCCGACATGTGCAGAGCTGCAGTTAAGGTACTGTCGTCTTTAACTTTGAGTTTTTAAACGCCGTAAAGTTCATTTTGAACTAATGTTTCGTGTGTCGAATGATATCATAATAAAGAACTTTAATAGGATTTTCCTGTTAGTCTTATAAACTGCATGCTGTTTGCAGCTGGAGCATGCAAATACAGTATGTACTTTGTGTGTTTGCAGTGTCATCCTGCCGAGTCTCTGCGTCTGTTCGTCCCTCACTGCTGCAGCATCATCTCCCACATCACTGGCCGTCAGTACCACACAGTGCATACGTACAGCTCATTATGTAGACGTGTGACGATGCTAACATGAAGACGCTTCGAGGCCTCGTGACGAGCTATAGGAACTATAGGAGCTATAGGTTTCTTTCTGTTTAGCAGCATCGTAGTTCCTTCTYTGATGAAGTGGTAATTAGTTTCAGCTTGGATCTTAATTAACTATCAGCCACAACATTAAAGCCACATGTCTAATATTGTTAAAGTATCATTTGTGCTCTAAGCTGTTGGAGGGAACATATGCGACCTCCTGAGTAGTCCTGCCATGACGTGAACCAGCTGAAGATCCTCCTTTTATGGGTAGTGGGGTGTGGAATGTGTCCACGTTCTGGTGCATCGAGCAGATGTTCCATCAGGCTGAGATTTGAAAGAGTCTGGTTGCTGTGGCAACTCTTGATCACCCTCTTCTTCTTTGTGTATTTTGTGTGYCACTCGTACAATCCTGAAGGATTCTTCTTAAAATCTTTGCAACAGTTGTTCTGCAGAAACATTAGTGCAGATAGTCATTAGGTGCATAAAAAGGCTAAATGTAAATGAAATGAATGTCAAATGATAGAAGTGTCCTAAATCTGATAAGACACCAAGTTTCATCAAAAACAGCTCAGGGAAATAATAAATACGTCTTTATTTGTGTTTGTGTGAAGATGAGGAGCTGCTGAACGAAGATGAGTTGGACAAAGAGCTGCTGTGGAATCTCCAGCTCCTCTCCGAGGTAAGACGACAAACTACCCGTAAAAAGCTCACCTTTTCCTTATTTTCAATTGTGTCGTTTTTTTTTTTAAAAAGCTGTGTTTCTTCTCGAAGTGACCAAAAACATTTGTTTGGCACAAGTTTCCAAATTACCACAGCAGCCGTTTGCATACTTTTGTTTCTCCAAAGTGCGAGCAAAAATGTGTGGAACAGACTTGTTTTCCTTTTATTATAGAGGAGGCAATAGGAAAAAAAAACTACACCCAAATGATATTTCTTTTCAGCGTGCACACTTCACCGCCATAAATACCAGAGAGCTTTGTCGTTAACCAGAACATATTGACACTCTTTCACTTTTGGTTTATTAATCCTGGGAGCTTAACGCGAGGTGGGCCGAGCCAGACGCTGTGATTTACTGAGGATCCTCAATATTTAAGGCACAACTCTCTAAAGAATGGCATGTACACACGTGTTTTTTTTTTTTTTTTTGTGTGTGTGTGTGTGTGTGTGTGTGTGTGTTTAGGTAACCCGTGTGGATGGCGAACAGCTGCTGAAATACCAAGAGGAGCTGGAGCGAATCCTGTGTGTGTGTGTGCGGCTGCGCTGTAAGCAGGCGTACACGCTTGCCTGCAGTCTACTGGAGCACACACTCCGCTCGCTCTCCCTCATCTATCCCACTGAGTACCGCAGCACCTCGGGAAGCTTTCAYACCGACCTGCCTATTCGGGTAAAAACACAAATACAGTATGTACACAAATACTAAAATCAGCTGCAACATCACCAAAACCAACCCCCAATATGAACAACAAATCAATATTTTTGCTTCTATTACAGATTTTTTTAAAAGCTGAAATTACATGAAAAGATTAAAAGAGTAAAAATAGCTTGAGGGCCAGTCAAATATAAATCAAGTTATCGAAAATGTTACTGAATTTGTTTTTATCCAACAGAAATCAAAGAAAACCAGGAGTTAAAGAAAACATTCAAAGTGTTTGACTCTTCTGAAGTTATCCGTATCAGTCAGGTTACATAATGTATTTTCAACRGTTCAGGCAGGAGCATGTTGCTATGTCTGCAGTTCAGCAAGTGGGGGCCATTAATCTATGTCAGTGTTGTTCAAAAAGTTGTTTTCATTCGCTTGGATTTACTGAGTAATTGATAAGATATGAAGGCAGCATGAACTCTGATTATTCAGCAGCATTATAATGAACTTTAAATCAATGTGGAAAAATGAAAAAAAAAATGAAAAAGATGCAAAAGACCAAGCCAAGTGAATCTGTTGTGGCAAATCCTTTGATTGCAGCAAATTGGAAAAGGTTGTTCCTAAATTTAATTTTCAGTTTTAAGCACAAGCAACAGACTGGATTGTTTCTAATGTGGGAGAATCTGGCATTAAAAGTGCTGTATGTGATATTCACAATCACTTTATGAAACGTCAGAACAACACGATTTCACATTAAAACTGAAGAATTACATTTTCTGTGAAAGTGCTGACTGGCTTTACAGATATTAGCAGAAAAAGCAAAAATTCACTTTAAAAGAAACAAAAGGTTAGATAAACACTAGCTACAAATGCAAAACTTTAAAAGACAAAGTTTCAAAATGCTAACTCAAAACCTAAAAGACCAAAACACTAGCAAAATATTACATTTTTTTGCTAAAACCTAAAACTAGCAAAGAGAAAACGAAAATGTAAAGATAACAACATGCTAGCTAAAAGATAAAAGTAGCAAAATAGTAGCTAGAAGCAAAATGTGGTAAAAGGATAGCTAAAAGGTAAAATTTACAAAATGCTAGCCAAAAAGCCAAAAGGGATTCCCTCACAGCTAAAACAAGCAAATTAAATAGCCAAATATAGCTACATGGTAGGGAAAAGTGGCAAAATGCCAACTAAAATCAGCAAAAGGTTGGCTAAAAGCTAAAGTGGCAAAAAGTAAAGGCTAGCTAAAATTTTAAACAAATGAAATGATAACTAAAAGTATCAAAAGGCATGTTAGAAGCTGCAAGTAGCAAAGCATTGGCTAAAAACTAAATATAGCAAAAGGCTAGGTAAATATAGCCGGGCTAAAAACATCAAAGACTATTTTAAAAACTAAAAGCAGAATAATAGCTAAAAACTAAAAGTAAAATTAGACAAAAAAATGTACAAGTACTCTGATGCAGATTTTAACAAAAAAAAAGTTTTTTGAAGGAACTGAAAGAGATTATATTTCCATGAGGAAAAAAAAAAAATCTAAAACAGCACAAAGTACGCAAAAGCTGCTAGTTTGCAAAAATGTGTGAAAAAATAAAAATAGAATACAAATTYAGTCTTCACACAATTAAAAATCTAATCTAAATGGGTATCTGCATCATTCTGGAGCAGATGTGCAGCTCAGTTCTCTACGTTGCTGATTTTACTCTCAGTTTGTGGCTTCAACTCCAGATGACCCCCCCCCCCACACACACACACACACACACACGTCTTTTTATAATCATGTGCACTAACTTACAGAGTTAGATCAGCCAAAACAAAACATACCCAGGGGAGAGAGGATCATATAAAAGTGAATACTTCATTTAAAATGTACCTTAGTGCAGATTATGGTAGCAGATATGGATCATTTGAATTTTAAAATATTGTTTACTAATTTGCTGTTTAGTTTGCAGTATTTTCTGCTGTTTGCTGAGTCATCTTCTAATCCCTTGTTTATGCCTTTAAAATATGTAAATATCAGCAGACGACACAGGTCTGTGGTTTTTAAAGCTGACTGGTTGAGCTGGTTCTCCTGCCAGCTTTTCCAGTGGAAAAAGCGGCAGCAATTCCACAGCTTTCTGGGTCTCCTCCTGCAGGACTGGGGCCGAGCCGGAGATGTGGCGGCGCTGGGTGTGCGTTGGCACGTGCCCAGCCGGGAGGAGGAGAACTTTGTTTTCCAGCTGCTGTCCCGCCTCCTGCGTCCAGAGCTGCAGCGGATCAAACGGCACGCCTCTGGAGACRAGCCAGTGACCAGGTGTGCCGTCGTTTGTCTCCGCTTTTAGGCACCTCAGACGTAATCGGGCACACGCACAAGCAAAACAAACAAAACCATGGGCGTCCATTACTGATAAATGAGACTTGTCCACACCAAAAAAAAAAAAAGCTGTACATCTGTTTGAATTTATAAGTGTTGAAAAGGTAGTTTAGCTTTGCCTAGTGGCACATAAACACAGTGCTGAGGAATTAGAGTGATGTGGCATCTCATTCGCAGGGAGGARTTATGGCAGAGCCTTGCCATCGTGCGGCATTGCCTTCTTGGAGCTGGAAGCATGCTGCCCCCTTTAGATGGAGCACACGTTCCTGACCTGTGAGGTTGCCGCCGATACTAACATGAAAACACACATTTTGAGTCAGGCTCGTCACACGTTGCCTTCTCACGTTTCGCTTCTTCTCAGGGTGCCGTCCATGGTGAATCTGGGGGAGATCAAACTGTATGTTGGCGTTGATTTCGGTAAGCAAACAGCCGTGTAGCAAACACACACACACACACACACACACACACACACACACACACATTATGGTCAGTTTTTAGGAGATAAGGCAGCTCATCCTGCATTCCACATCCATACGAGACGTCTGTGTGTCTCCTCCCCTCCAGATGATTCACGGGAGAACTACAGAGAGTCCATCTGCCAAACGATGAGACTGCTGCTTCGTGAGTAACACTCCAACTCTTCAAGTGCCTGTGACATTTTTGAAATATGGAAGCATTTTTGGGAAGATAACATTGATAACTTTTTGCAAAGTTTTGCGATGCTGAGATGAACAGCTGTTGAGATATTTGCATGTGAAGTAACAGGAAGGGATGTCCGAATGTGAACAGAGATTTACTACAATAGCTGACGAGAAGAATCTTTAGATCATTTTGAGTCACAATCAGAGTCTGAGTTCAAATAATGTTGTTTCAATAAACAAAGACCAGGAATCAAAAAGAAAAAGTAAGTAGGTCCTCTGGATCGGTTCTTCTTTAGTGAAACGTTTCATCTCTCCTCCAAGAGACTTCCTCATGAGTTTCAGGTGAACTCAGCCTTAAAAGCACCGCCTCCACATGGACAAACAGGTTAGTCACATGCAAAAGAGGGCCATCGCTTAAGACCAGGTAGTTTTTTATCTTAAAGAGTTCCCCTTTCATGTCACTTTCTGTTTCATTTCAGCTGAGCCAAGTTTAAAAAAATATACCAGTTATGCAACAAAATGGTTCAAATAATGTACTATGCCAAGTTTCTTAAATGTAAAGATGTTTTCTTTGACTTTTTGTACGTGAAGGATAYGCATGTCACAGGCACTTTAACGTCTCACTCTTTAAAAAATGGCTGCCGTGCACAGGTTATCCCCCTTTTTTTCCTAATCCAGATCACGTCCTGGAGCAGTCAGAGGATGATACAAAGTCGCTCTTTATGATCATTAAGGTGCTCAACCCCCTCACTATGATTCTGTTCGAAATACCTAATCCAATATATCAGTTCTGCAGGGCCTCAGAGTGCCGTTTTGTTTGTGTGACTGCAGATTATCAGTGACCTCATGTTTTTCCGTGGCATTCACAAGACGGAGTTTGACTCACGCTGGAAAAGCTTCACTCTTGTCAAGAAGTCCATGGAAAACAGGGTGAGTCTGAAGCTGCAGCTTACTGCTGTCACGTTCAATAAGCACGGGAACAGGGTGACATAAAACTCTCGTCTTTCGCTTTTACAGCTTCATGGGAAAAAGCAGCACATCAGAGCACTTCTCATCGACCGGGTCCTGCTCCAGCACGAGGTTCGTTTGACGACGCCACGGCGTTACGCAGGGTCACCGCCTAACATGCCCGTGACGGGGAAAAGATCATCTGAATTTGACGGTGTTGAAAATGGTGGTTTTTTTTTTTTTTCTGTGTGAGCAGATGAGAAAGCTGGTGGTTGAGGGCAGTGAATACAAAGTGGTTCATCAGGAGCTGCTCTGTGATCTGCTGCTACTTTCTACCAGCACGTACAGCCAGGTGATGAAAAAGAAAAAAAAAGAAATCAGAACATCATCTGGTTTCCATTTTAACATGAATGGTGCGATGAAATGGAAGCTAACTGTGCGAATTCACGTATTCATCTGTGATTCTTGGTGCATGTGCTCTTTCAGGTACGTAGCCGGGCACAGAGTGTGCTGATGACGGCGATGGGAACCTATAGCTTCTCTTACAGAGACATGGTTCCCCGCATCGTTCAGCTGTTGTCACCGCAAAACATCACAGGCACACAGCAGCAGTTCAAGGTATTGTGCACACCTGTTCAACATTCAATTGCTCATAGGCATGAAATTACAGAGATTCAAGGCTGATTTGACCACAGTTTTGAGTATAATTACACAAGCCTGGCATTAAAATTGGTCCTGAGTGATTACAGGTTTTCCACGGGTCCTTGAAATCCTTGAAAGTTAGTGAATTGGTAAAAATGATTTCAAGGCCCTGGAAAGTTTGTGAAAACAGCCAAAAATTACACTTGTCCTTGAAAGTCCTTGAATGTTTTTTTTAATTCTCTATTCACACGACAGAGTTTCATCATCTGTAAAAAATATATATATATATATTTACATATATACAGTATATATATATATATATATATATATATATATATATATATATATAAAATAATAAAATAAAATAAAAACTTAGATTTGTTGCGGTGGATAACTCAGGATTACGGTAAACTGACATGGCTTTCAACAAATAGAGCAATTGTCATAGTTTTAACCAATCAGAGCAGCGTAGGGCGGGTCTTTCTTTCTGAGCCCACTCAGCCCAGGTGAGAGCACCACAGCTCCTCCTGTCCTCACCGAGCRTCTGGACATGTTCACATCCCCTCCTCCCAAACTGAGCTGCCAAACCTCCAGGACATAATTACTTGTCCATTTATTGTAGATATGAATGTAGGGTAAACATTTAATCCACTTTCGTTCATTGATTCTGATTCAACAATTTTTATGTTGTTCAGTTTTTCATTGAACTTACATGATATTAAACCTGTTTCTTGGTAACATTCTGTGGTAGCAGTAGGTAATTGCCGTTGCGCTTGGTTCTTGAATTTGAGGAAATTGGTACTGGAAAGTCCATGAAAGGTCCTTGAATTTGATGTTGACCAAGGTGTGGGAACCTTGGATTAGTTCTTAGCAGTGGTGAGCACAGCTAACAAAAAAGTTAGCTTCTTTAACCACAAATCCACTAAACAAGAACCTTAGCTCCGCTAACGCTAATCCGCTAAATGGGTAAAAAACAAAAACAAACAAACAAACAAACAAACAAACAAACAAACAAACAAAAATGCTAAGACACCTGCTACAACACAGGGGCATTGAGGGGGTGGGGTGGGTGTTAGTCAAACAACAAATAGCAAATACTTTCTCTACTATAAGAAAAACGTGATCAGAAGTGGAGTCTGAATAAATTTGCAGAAAACCAGCTGATTCTCTTCTAAACCGTTTTATTCAAAAATCTGAAGTCCAAAAAGGCTCAAAGCCATCCAGCCTGCTGGGCCTGTGAGTTTAGGCCTTGGGCCTTATCAGAACAATAACAACCCCTCTCAGCAGCCACAGCTGCTTCTCAGGCGGCTTTAAAGAAATAATGATGCATGATGCTGAATCACCTCAGTAAAGTCACATGAAAACCTGACTTCCTGGTCACACCCTTGTGGGTGGTACCTTTTTCATCAGACAGAAAATAAAACAAATGTTTATGTTACAATGGACACACTGATTGAGACTTATGTTTCTCTGTTCAAAGTGTACAAAATGTAAAATACAAGACTGTAATTCAGTTAATAATACACACAATTCCTGTTACTTCCTATATTATATGTAGTCATTGTATTTGCCATTTAAATATTGTTGAATGTTTATTTCTTTTTGACACTTTTAGTCTGAAGTTTAGCTGCTAAAGATGTTAAATGCTACACACAGGTGCCTGACCTGCTTTTAGTGGACTTAACATTAGCGGAACCTAATTTAGTGGAAGCTAATTAGTCTGCTAATGGTTTCCAAAGAAAGCTAATTCGCTGAATGAGAAGCTAGTTCTCACGAACAAACAAAGTTTGTTCATACGAGCTTGAAGGAGCGATTCATTTTAATCCAGGGAATAAGATTGTGGAACAGCGTGGAAGATGAGGTTAAAAATGCCAGATCCTTGTATATATTGAAGTGAATGATAAAAACTAGTATTCTGAAGAAATATGGAGAATTATAAGTGAATTCAAGCTAATTGTTGTTTGAGTTAGTGTCTTAAATTTTGCTTTTAATTCATTTTTTTAAGTGTTTGAAGTTGTTTTGATTTTTGTTGTATTTTACTTTTCTTTTGAACACATTTTGGGTATAAAAAAGGGACAGATATTATAAGATTTATTCTTCTTTTGCTGCTTTTCATTTTATTTGATTTTATTTTAATTGCATGATTTTTGAACTTTGTTAATATGTTTTACAAATTAAATGAATAAAGAACTACTACTACTACTACTACTACTACTACTACTACTACTACTACTACTACTACTACTAGTTCTGCTATTAGCAGATGAGCAGAACTGTGATCACCACTTGTTCTTAGTTGCAACAAACAGGTCAGCTCATGCTTCTGTAAAATCATATTTAACCATCTAAACTAAATACTCAGACAAGAAGAAACAGTTTTATATTCACCTCACTTGTGGAGTTGTTTACAAAGACTTCAATACTCAATTACAGTCACAGGGGAATAGAAAGTCCACTGCAGACTATCCTTTGAACAGATGAGACCAAAGTAGAGATGAGAGAGGTACTCATAATGCTCAGCACCATGTTTAGAGAAAACCAAAGAGCATATCTGCACAAACACTTTAAAGCAAAAGCACAGAGGTGGAGGGGTGATGATTTGGGCTCATGAAATCATCTGTAAATCGGTCCGAAGGATAAAGTCAGGATAATGACACAAGGTTAGCAGGAGGGTTAGTTCTTGTGTATTTTTCTTCTGCAGGGCGCTCTGTACTGTCTCCTGGGTGAACACGGTGGATTTTGCCCAGCCACCACGAGAGACTGGGACTGTGTCGGGGAAGTCTGGCCCGCGTTGGTTCGCTGTGGTCTGTCGTACTCAACGACCCTGGCGAAGCCGTCCATCGGTCGACTGTTTGATGACATCATCGACAGGATTCATCGCCAGCAYGACACCACTGGGATCTTCTTGACTGTGAGCCACATATTCACGAACACAAGAAACGACTCTCGCGTGAGGCTTTGTTGGTAACTTTTGTTTCCATTTGTCCATTTTCAACCCTAGGTGTCRGAGCGGTGTGTCGAGGTAGCCAATCAAATCACACTATCGGAAAATCCTTGTTTGGAGACACCATCCATAGAGGAAACACAGGAGGGAATTCAGCGGCAGCGAATCAGAAATGTGGTTGCTGCACGGTAGGACAAAAAAAAACAACAGTCTTAAAATGATCCAAAAATGATTTTTTTGTTGTTTCATATTTTTGTTATGACTGGTAATAAGTGTACTGACCAGAGCTTGTTTTTCTTTTTATGCAGGAAATATGAGAAGCTTGTGAATGACCTGTTGGACTGCCTTGAAGACAAAGACTTGTATGTTCTCCACCTGGAAGCTTTATACATTCAGTCATCATGTAGAAGTTTTTCAGTGTTGTATAAAGTACCACAAAGTGATACTTGAGTATCTTATCATAAAATTACTTTAGTAAAAGTTAACGTCTCCTCTAAGAATATTACCTGAGTAAAAGTCTTAAAGTATCTGATTTATTTTTTACTTAAGTATCAAAAGTAAATTTCTGACAAAAAATGTACTTAAGTATTAAAAGTAAAAGTATTGAGTAAAAATGAAAGGTTAGATTTTCCAAATACATTTTTTAAATGCATGCAGCTGTGATGGATTGTGTACAAACTAATATGTGTCAGAATGGTATATATTTATACTTCTCATCCAACCACATTCAAAAGCACAGTTTATCGAGATAGAATTTTTTTTTAACAATAATGAGCTGGAATGAAATAGGAGTAATGACTTTCTACTTCTTACCTTTTTTAAACAWGTAGGGAGTAGAAAGTACAGATAATTGTGTAAAAATGTAGAGTAGAATTAAAAAATAGACTGAAAAAAATTACGCAAGTAAAGTACAAAAAGCCAAATTTTCTACTTAAGTACAGTAATCAACTATTTATACTTAGTTACTTTACAACCCTGACRTTTTTATAAGTAAATGGTGCAGTTCTTAAAGTTCTAGTAGGATTTTGCTGCTCTTACAAGATCAGTTGAGTGGATTTTTAATATAGAAACGTAAAAAGAAGCGACACGGGCTTACAGTTTAATATAAAGGGACTTATCTTGGTTTCTGTTGTTGTCTCAGACCCTGGAAGTTTGARCACATGGCCACAGATTTGTTGGCTCTCCTCCTGAGAGACGATCACCCTCTTCCTCCTGATGCTGTCCTCTACTTCACRCAGAGCCTTGTTCACGACTCCATCAGCATCCGCAAGGTCTGCTTCTAACTGGGGGTGGGGGAGGTTGGCTATTTGGTGGTGTTTGGCGGGGGGAGKTTGTGAGAACTAAWCACTCAGAATGTATCTGCTTTTCCCTGAAGTAATAAAAAAGAAACAGTGTTGTTTTTTTTTAGATGCACCATGGTGTCCAAAGCACAAAACTCCGGTGCTTTTATAATGGAAATGTTGAGCAGTTGTCTGCAGTTTGTCCTAAAAGCTCAGACTAAACAGAAGTGGCTTGATGTTGTTGATCAAATCAAAAACAAGAAGGGAGCTGGCTAATCTTAGCATCTTTTGTTTCCTGGTGTCGTCCTCTAACAGCTGTTGATCATACTTCAGTGCAGCCAATCAAATTTTGCATGARGCACTAAAATCAGCATTTTATCCGCGGCGCGGCAGATGGTTGAAGCGAGCCGGATAGAAGCTGCTGCACCACACGCTTTCGAACGACGACTCACACGAGCTTTCATGCAGAACGTTTCTGCTTATGTAACGTGCAGACAGGGAAATGTACTTCTTCTCCTGGACTGTGGCTTGTTAAACAAGCAATCAAATGAAACTTCACTCTGCTAATGGGAGTGTGAGGACGAGACGAGCTAAGAGTAGATAATTAATTGCCAATTGCCTGCTGCAACACATTAAACAGCAAACAACAAATGTCAGCCGAGTTCAGTAAGTTTACCCTTCACAGTCTCGGCTAACAAACCCACTGTCAGTCTGTGACGTCCACTCAACCCAGCGAGGGTTTAGCCTTTTTTTTAAGTTGTTTGTTTATTGTCTGTAAAATGAACATTTATTTAAAATGTTGCTAATGATATTTTAAACTACAAAAGTTGCTTATTCTGTTGATAAAAGAGTGTAAAGCTGAGGCTTGAATATTAACTGAAGCGCTAAAATCTGCAAAACAGTAGCTAAAAGCTAAAATTAGCAGAACTGTTCCTAAAAACTAAATGAAAAACAGTCACTAAATTAAAAAACATGCAAACAAAACAGTAGCTAAACACAAAATTAGTAAAATTGTAGCTAAAGCTAAAATTACCCCAAAATTAGCTAAATTTCAACTTAACAAAACAATAGCTAAAAGCTAGAACGAGCAAAATCATAGCTAAAAGCTAAAATAAATCAAACTGAAACAAAATCATTAGAAATACTCAACAGTAGCTAAAAGCAAATTGTTGCTAAATATTAAAATAACAAAATAGTTGCTAAATGCTAATATTACCAAAATAGTAGCTTGGCACTTAAAAAAAGTAAAACCAGAGATAAAAGCTGAAACTAGAAAATAAAATATAATTTTTAGATGAACAAAWTTCTACAAGGGAGGCTTTAATGTCCAGTGAAGCAGTCCCTTTTTGCATTTAGGAGAATGAGCAAATTCAAAAAAAGTTATAATACAAAATATTATAAACATTTACAACAATGGCGTTTAAATTTCAACTAAAACAGAAGGTTTTCAGCAGAGCAAGGAGACTGCAAGTTGAAAGTTTTTTTTTCCCTTCAACAGTATTTATGATTAAAATTAGACACGATAGAAAAAAAAGGCCAACTTGCTGCCCTGTTATCTGGTTCTGAAAACTACAACCGAAAACTTGATGCTTTGTTGCTGAAGGGACTTTTCCTCCGTCTCTWCTCTCTCAGACTGTGTAAATCTTTGGTTTCCTCCTGGTGGGCAGCTGAAAGAACTACTTTTCTCAATCAGATTTAAAAAAAACAGAAGCTGTCATGGCACCAAAGCATACAGAACCAGGATCAACACAGGGAGGCCCAGAAAGGAACCAGGAAGTCGGACATGGCTTGTAAAATGCACACTGCTCCACTGATTTCAGGAGTAACAAACGAGAGGTTATTTATAGACAGAGGTTGATGAACAGAAGTGGGTGCAGCTGGGACTGAAAAACAGGGAGCAGGTGAAGACGGACGTGGAAGGCTGACAGCAAGAAGCAGAAATTGATTGACGGCACAGAGGAAGACAAAAATAYCTTATTGAGTCAAGCAAAGAAGCAGAACTTAAACACAAGCATCCCAAAATACAGAAAATAAAAGATGATAAAAAAGGAGAAATAAACCTGATCATAAAAAAGTAACCACAGTCACTATATTTACCCACTCTACTGTAGAAAAGGCTTTTATTGTTTAAATCATGTTTTTGTTATTTTCYTCCCTGCAGTACCCCCTCCTCTTATCTGCTGCTGAAATACTAAACAGTTTAATCATTTATTGAGTTTGGCCAAGCTGCCCACTTGGCATGTGTTGTGTTAACGTTTGTATTGGTGAAGTGAAAAAAATAAAATAACTGAAGGGGTGTCCCAGGTTGCTCAGGAACAATATAACACAAAGTATCTCACTTTGGTGGTGGCTTTGGGGCCTTTCAGCTTCAGTAAAAAACATAAAAGACAGAGAAGAAAAATGTTAAAAGTCCCAAAAGATAATATGTTCTCTTTAATTTTACACTTTTTATTGAACCTCGAGGAGCCGCAGTGACTCCATCTGTTCAGTGTGGAAATAAAAACTGTGCTCTCTTTGGTTTAAGATGACAAACTCGTGACCCGTTGTCTTTACTGAATGTTTCTCTCTGTTAGGTTGCGATCTCAGCAGTGGCTGGTGTCCTGAAGCAGCTGAAGAGGCCGAGAAACAAGGTGGCCGTGAAGCCGTCGGACATCAGTGAGTTTACACTGGGGACGTACGCAATTAAACAAAAATCGATTCATAATCGGTTAGAACTGCTTAAAATGTGGATCGATTCATAAAAATGAATGAATTGATTTCATTGTTGATGTATAACAGTAAGTTAAGTCTTTAAGACAAAATCAGTTAGATCTTTTTATGTAATTTATTTTGAAGTTATATTCTGTTATTAAGACAGCAAACAGTTACAGTTTGATACAAAGACAAAAATGCTGATTTAAAACAAAAAAGAAACTTTTTTGGTTCTAAAACGCCCACAATTCATTTTGTTGGAATTGGAATTGCGAACTTAAAATCGACAATTGCATCAGAGCTCGAGCGAATCGTAAAACATTACATTTGGTTCTTGTTTGATTTTGTGCAACCAACTGAATTTTAGAGTCACTCCAAAATAACTAATTCTCCTAATTTTACAGAGATGGATTTAACATTTTTGCGTGACAGTGAGATTCATTCACAACACTTACGTTTCAGCGCTACGCATCAGCCTGATCTCACAATACTGCACGTGCATAACAATTAATTGTATCCTGATAGCAGTTTTTGGGTACTTGCTGATACCGACCGAGTACTTACTGAGTGAGAACTTAAACGTTACACAATGACACATTTGTTTTATTTAGAAAAAGATGGCTSTCCTTCTTTATAGGCCTACAGCCCCTCTGATAGGATCTAATTAAAAATGCAGCATGATGTATACTGTTGCAACGTTTTAAAATAGATAAAAATAATACATTTTCTTTCAACTTGTCATAAAAATGACAAACTTTTCACTATTCTGGTATTGATACATCACTAATAACCAAGTTTGGCCTAAGCAGCTGTAAGAATATTTCGTGTTCGTTAACTGAAATCGTGACGAAACCACATGAATGTTAAATAGATTAAAATGTGAAGGGAATAGAACCATACAACCCCAGATCTGGTGCTGAGCGAAGCTTTTATTGCTTACGGCTGAAGCAAGCAAGCAGCGCTGTCCGAAACCGTAAGTTCCGGTTCATCTTCAGTGCCTGGTGCACCCACTACAGGCCTACGGCTGAATCGCAGGCACTCGTGCAGAAAATGTCTTTCCTAATGAATTTATAACGGTTTACCTATGTGTTGTCATGATGTTTTGGGCATGTAACTAAACCTATTTTAATCAAGACATCATAATAGTCAAACAATAGATTATAAAAGTCAAGCCTTAAAAAGGAAACTAAGACGAGTGGTGTGGTGCTTCAAATCCGTTTCTAACTGACTAATAAAATCCTTCACAGCCATAATAACATCATGCCACCATCATACCAGCAACATACCAGTTTTTTAGCCATTAAATACATTTTGTTGTGAACTTGGAGTATCWAGGAAAGCAGTTTCTACAGGTGCTGCATAGATATCTTTTTGTTTGGGTCCTAATTTTCAATCTGTTCTGTTTTCTTTACATTCTATGATGCTTTATGAACTATTACATCACAGTATTTSCGATGGAACATCTAAATAAGSTCWGGACTCACCAACTACAATTTGGTGGTTTTCATTCTCCTCTGGCTCCAACATGTAAGGCTGGACGGACAAGTCTTCTGTTGTTCATCTTTTAATTCATTTGTAAATAAAACATTTATATAGTCGTAAACCCCTATAACAATGAAGCGCCTCATTTGGATTTAAAGAGACAGCCTCAAAACGAGTTGATCTGAGACACACTTAAAAAATGGGTGAAAAAGGGGCTTGTGGAGTTAAAATCAGGAATTCAGACCAAAGCATTGCAGCTCCACTTTATACAGACCCCACCTGAATGATTTAAATATGAAAAAAAGTGGTTTAAAAGCAAGATGTGTCTCCTTTAAAGATGAATGGGTGACATGCATTCCTTCAAGGAGTTTTGGGCCTTTAATTTAAACAAACAGATTGYAACGCAGAGACCAATCTTGAGTTTGTTCATTACTTTCTCTCTATAAATATTTAAAGTAAGAGTCGGCCTTAACCGTGCAGCAGCTTTTCTTTACATTTTACTGTCTGTCTGCAGGTGGAGTCCCGGATCCAGAGGGGATTTGTTTCGGGGATCACGAGGGGAATCGCTGGCTGCAGTACGACAGCAGCAACCTCCCTCTGAGTCGGGAGCAGTGGGACTCTTTGCAGTATGTGGAGAAGACTCACTGGGGCTACCACTCATGGCCCAGGTGAAGACCGAACACCTAATTGTTGCAGYGGCCGATTTGGCAACTCTTAACGCTGACGAACCACTCGGTCGGAAAGGAGCTAAATATCTGATTGACTTAAGTGCCTGTTTGATTTGAGGCTCGTCTTTGTAGCTTTGCAGCCGTGTTTGTGTCCGACTGACCCGCTGAAGACTGATCTGGGTTTCCGGATAGCTAGTGAGTGGGAGGAAAGRTGGGGTGGGGTTAGAACTGACTTCCTGTCACAGCTCAGCCCAGATAAGGCTGAATGAACGACTTACTGCCTGCCCTAAATAGAAGAGTTGATGTATAAGCAGAGGGCCGGCTGTCTCGGTATGCGTGCTGAGTAACTGACTTTATAATCATCCATTTATCCTCACTGCTTATTTGAAGACACACTGTGTGTGTCTGTCCCGGGGTTCTTCTCTCTCTCTCTTTGTGTTGTTATCTATAAATCACAGCAGCCTCTGCTTTGTCCGCCGCTTCCTTTCAGAGAAATGATGATCTATGCAGCTTCTGAAAAGACTCAAGATGACCTGCCATACAAGGAGATGAGTGAGGTGCGTTCTGCACCGTGCACACACACACACACACACACACAGACACAAACACACACAGAGCTCATCACTCCAGTTGTGAACTTGTGTGTCAATCAGGGAGAGAAGATCATCTTTGAGTACTTCTCGGACCTGGACTTCGTTGACCAGCTGGTGGAGTTTCTGTCTCTGGAGGAGAGGAAAGGCAAGGACAGCTTCAGCCCCCGACGCTTCTGCCTCTTCAAGGTGGAGTTGTAACTCTCATCCCGTGACAGTGTGACAACAGTTTTTTACAAAGAGGTGACGCGGCACGCCATCTCTGAAAAGCTGCAATTACTGTCCTCATCCACTGTGATTTATTCCTCTCTGCCGGAGCAGCGGTTTACTCGAATGAAACAAATGGCTCTGATCCCCCCCTCCCCCCCCCTCCCCATTGCCTTCTAAAAAATGTATTTGCTCCTTCCTGGATGATTAAACCGCCTGCGCTTGATTGACAGGGGCTGTTTCGTAACTATGACGACGCGTTCCTGCCCATACTGTGGCCTCATCTGGAGCGGCTCGGGAGTGACCCCCATGAGAGCTCGCAACGCTGCGTGTGTGAGATTACTGCAGGACTGATCAGAGGCAGCAAACACTGGGGCTTCAGCAAGGTGCCACACACACACACACACACACACACACACACACACACACAC